CCTGCCCTGGGATGGATCCTGGATTTGGGATCAGTGTGGGGAACAACAGGATCCTGCCCTGGGATGGATCCTGGATTTGGGATCAGTGTAGGGAACAGTGGGATCCTGGATTTGGGATCAGCACAGGGAACAGTGGGATCCTGGATTTGGGATCAGTGTGGGGAACAGTGGGATCCTGGATTTGGGATCAGCACAGGGAACAATGGGATCCTGCCCTGGGATGGATCCTGGATTTGGGATTGGCACAGGAACAGCGGGATCCTGGATTTGGGATCAGTGTAGGGAACAACGGGATCCTGCCCTGGGATGGATCCTGGATTTGGGATCAGCACAGGAGCAGCCTGGGATGGATCCTGGATTTGGGATCAGTGTGGGGAACACTGGGATCCTGCCCTGGGATGGATCCTGGATTTGGGATCAGTGTGAAAAACAGTGGGATCCTGCCCTGGGATGGATTCTAGATTTGGGATTGGCACAGCAACAGTGGGATCCTGGATTTGGGATCAGTGTGGAAAACAGTGGGATCCTGCCCGGGGATTCGGGATCAGCACAGGAGCAGCCTGGGATGGATCCTGGATTTGGGATTGGCACAGGAACAGTGGGATCCTGCCCTGGGATTTGGGATCAGCACAGGAACAGTGGGATCCTGGATTTGGGATCAGTGTGGGGAACAACGGGATCCTGCCCTGGGATGGATCCTGGATTTGGGATCAGCACAGGAACAGCCTGGGATGGATCCTGGATTTGGGATCAGTGTGGAAAACAGTGGGATCCTGCCCTGGGATTTGGGATCAGTGTGGGGAACAACGGGATCCTGCCCTGGGATGGATCCTGGATTTGGGATCGGCACAGGAACAATGGGATCCTGCCCTGGGATGGATCCTGGATTTGGGATCAGCACAGGGAACAGTGGGATCCTGCCCTGGGATGGATCCTGGATTTGGGATCAGCGTGGAAAACAGTGGGACCCTGCCCTGGGATTTGGGATCAGCACAGGAGCAGCCTGGGATGGATCCTGGATTTGGGATCGACACAGGGAACAGTGGGATCCTGCCCTGGGACTTGGGATCAGCACAGGGAACAATGGGATCCTGCCCTGGGATGTATTCTGGATTTGGGATCAGCACAGGAAACAGTGGGATCCTGCCCTGGATGGATCCTGGATTTGGGATTGGCACAGGAACAGTGGGATCCTGGATTTGGGATCAGTGTGGGGAACAGTGGGATCCTGCCCTGGGATGGATCCTGGATTTGGGATCAGCGCAGGAACAGTGGGATGGATCCTGGATTTGGGATCAGCACGGGGAACACTGGGATCCTGCCCTGGGATGGATCCTGGATTTGGGATCAGTGTGGGGAACAGTGGGATCCTGCCCTGGATGGATCCTGGATTTGGGATTGGCACAGGAACAGTGGGATCCTGGATTTGGGATCAGTGTGGAAAACAGTGGGATCCTGCCCTGGGATTTGGGATCAGCACAGAAACAGCCTGGGATGGATCCTGGATTTGGGATCAGCACAGGGAACAGTGGGATCCTGCCCTGGGATGGATCCTGGATTTGGGATCAGTGGGATCCTGCCCTGGGATGGATCCCAAGGAAGGGCAGGGATTCCAGGGCTGCAGCTTTCTGAATTGAGAGAGAATTTTTTGGGGGGGGGATTCTCTGAATTTAGAAAGAATTTTAGGGATTCTCTGCTGCAGCACACCTGGGATGGGACCTGGGGCACACCTGGGATGGNCGGACTCCTCCAGGGACCTGGGGACAGACAGACGGACACTCTGAGCTCCCGGCAATGACACGGGGACAGCCCTGGATCCCTCCGGGTTTTCCCAGGAATGGGAACAGGAATATCCCTGGACCTTGCTGAGTTTTCCCAGGAAATGGGAACAGTCCTCTGGGTTTTCCTGGGAATGGGAACAGCCCTGGATCCCATTGGGTTTTCCAGGAAATGGGAGAGGAACAGCCCTGAATTCTTCTGGGTTTTCCCAGGAATGGGAACAGCCCTGAATTCCTCTGAATTTTCCCAGGAAATGGGACAGGAACAGCTCTGGATCCCTCTGGATTTTCCAGGAAATGGGACAGGAACAGCCCTGGATCCCTCTGGATTTTCCTGGGATGGGAACAACCCTGAATCCCTCTGAGTTTTCCAGGAATGACAAAAGAACCGCCCTGGATCCTGTTGGGAACCCAAGAACAGCCCTGGATCCCTCCAGGATTTTCCAGGAATGTCACAGGAACAGCCCTGGGTCCCTCTGGATTTTCCAGGAATAGGAACAGCCCTGGATCCCGTTGGGTTTTCCCAGGAAATGGGACAGGAACAGCCCTGGATCCCTCTGAGTTTTCCCAGGAATGACAAAAGAACAGCCCTGGATCCTGTTGGGAACCCAAGAACAGCCCTGGATCCCTCTGGATTTCCCAGGAATGGGAACAGCCCTGGATATCTCCAGGATTTCCCAGGAATAGGAACAACCCTGAATTCCTATGGGTTTTTCCAGGAAATGGGACAGGAATAGCCCTGGGTCCCTCTGGATTTCCCAGGAAATGGGACAGGAACAGCCCTGGATCCCTCTGGATTTCCCAGGAATAGGAACAACCCTGAATTCCTCTGAATTTTCCCAGGAAATGNTCACACACTCACAGAGCGCCATCCTGCCCAGCGCCGCCTTGCTGAGGACACAGAGCAAACCTGGCACACCTGGCACCTGGGCACACCTGGCACACAGCTCATACACCTGGCACACTGACAGAGCGCCATCCTGCCCAGCGCCGCCTTGTTGGGGACACAGAGCACCTGGCACACCTGGCACACAGCTGGCATACACCTGGTACTGCTGGGATACACCTGGCACACCTGGCACACACCTGACACAGCTCACACACTCACACAGTGCCATCCTGCCCAGTGCCACCTTGCTGGGGACAGAGAGCACCTGGCACACATCTGGTACTGCTCGGACACACCTGGCACACACCTGGCACAGCTAACACACACCTGGCACACCTGGTACTGCTGGGACACAGCTGACACAACTGACAGACACCTGGCACTGCTGGCACACACCTGGCACCGCTGGCATACACACCTGGCACACGCCTGGCATGTGACACCTCACACACGTGGTACACACCTGGCACAGCTGGAACACATCTGGCACAGCTGGCACACACCTGGCTCATGCTGCCACTGGGGACAGGGACAGGCAAGGGAGGTGCCCAGGTAAGAGGGCGGGGCCGAGGTGAGGGGGAGGAGTCAGAGCAGAGTGGGAGGAGTCAGAGCAGAGTGGGAGGAGTCAGAGCAGGGTGTGGCCCATCTGAGGGGGCGGAGCCAGAACAGGGCAGGGCCCAGGTGAGGGGGAGGAGTCAGAGCAGGGCGGGGTCAGGGTGAGAAGGTGGGGCCCAGATGAAGGGGAGGAGCCTGAGCAGGGCATGGCCCAGATGAAGGGGTGGAGTCAGAACAGGGCAGGGCCCAGGTGAGGGGGAGGAGCCTGAGCAGGGCGTGGCCCATAAGAAGGGGAGGAGTCACAGGAGAGAGGGAGGAGTCACAGGTAGGCATGGCCCATCTGAGGGGGAGGAGTCAGAGCAGGGTGTGGCCCATCGGAGGGGGCGGAGCCAGCGCAGGGCGTGGCCTCACCTGGCCCTCAGGTAGTAGAGCAGGTGATATCCGATCTTGGGCTGCTTCTGGTAGAGCTCCGAGAGCAGGTCCAGCAGCAGCGAGAAGCCGCTGTTGTCCTCCTGCATCTGGCACAGGTTCCTTGGGGACAGCGGGAATGTCACCGGGATAACGGGGACCAAACACCCCAAAAAACCCCAAAAACCTCAAAATCCACCAAAAAA